CAACATTATAACAGTTTTCTCTTTTGGAATTTTGGAATTTTAAATGGAACAAAAATTCTTCAAACAACAATTTGAATACATTAATTGTAGTTTGAAGTCTTTATGCCTTGGATTTTCTATATACGATAAAACTCAAGGAGTTCAAATTAACCATGAAATTAAAATAGATTTATTCCAATAGCCTTAAGTGTTTTAATATTCTATTAAATGAGTTTACAATTAAAAATGTTAAACAATGAAAATATTTGCAATTCTAATTGCAATTTGCTTTTCATTCCTGTTAACTATTAACGTTACCTTGTATATACAATTAGCGAAAAAAACTAGAATTATTTAATAAAAACTTTCTAAGTCAAAAACTTGAGTTTCGAATTATTTAGAGTTTAGACTTAATTCTTGAAAAATTTTTATATTTTTAAATGCCTAGAGCTAATTAAAATTTTTAAGGCAAGAATATAATATTGGGACTCAATAATTTTGCAACTCAAGCCATTGATCGAATTTTGAGAGATGCCAAAATTTTATTTAGAATTCAAAGTAAAAATAAAATCTGCAAAACCGACTGTGGCACTGTGGCAGTCGAATAGTCGATTAAATTGTCACTTAAATTGTCACTCTCTAATCTGGACTTCATGTATATTTTATACAAATGCTGGGCCGATCACAATTTTGTTGCACAATTTTAAACATTTCAAGACTTTTATAGACTCCTATTTTTCGTCTGAATATCAAGACTGTCTTAATGGCTGTGTAAGGTATAAAAAATGTAACTTGTATGCACTTATAAATTTTTATAACACTTATATAATTGCCCTTTATAACGTTCCACTTATCTGTATATGATACTAAATAATTATGTTTTAAAAATGGAACAAAAACCCTTAGTAATTAGATCTATTAAAAGCAATTTATAACAAATTGTTCTTGGTAGTAGCAATCATTTAACAAACAACATTACATAGAATCTATTGTTTTAATCTTCAATTTTATACTACACTGTTTTGTTTTGTAAAAGAAAACAAGAATACAAAATCCATATTTTGTGTAGAAAAAATAATTCAAACATGAAAATCAATTCATTACAGAAATCAATCAAGGTTACAATCAAGGAATAAACTGGAAATTAATCTTGTAGGAGTAAAGTACAATAGAAACATCAAAAAAAGAATTTTCTAGAAAAAAACAAAAGAATTTTAAAAATTTCTTTTGATCTATATGATGACATTGAAAAGGACTTACGCATTCAATTAAAAAGTTTGTTATTTCCTCCTTTATTCTATGAAAAAAAGACACAACAAGAAGGATCAAAATTGATTTTTGCTAAAAAAAAGTACAGCTTTTTATACATTTCTAGTATATTGGAGGTTTTTAAAAGGATTTCGAAAAAATATTCATGTACAATAAAAATTTTGTTCTTTAATATTCTTTTATACTCGCTTTTAAATCTTTTCTTTTTTTATGTCCTTTTCCTATTATGTACAATGTATTGGAGATGTAAATTGGGATTTTTTTATGTTTCCTTTATTTTATTCTGCAATTACGTCAATTCTAACCCAGAAGCCAGATAACATCAAACGTCAAATTTTTCAAATTTAATTCTGAATAACATTAAAAGAAAAAATTAGAATTTCACAAGTTAAGAACATTGTGGAAAACTACTGTCATACTGGAATTATAATTGACAACATTATAGAAATAAGCAATACCAAGAAATTAATTAGAGTCGATTCAAGACAACGCTCAATTTCGATGTCAATTGGTCATTTTGTTTTCCTTTATTAATTGCATATTAATTTTTTTAAATCGTTTAATAATTATGAAAGCTACATTCAAAAATTTTCAAATTAGATTTCGGAAGTTTAATATTAATTTGCACACCCCCTGCCCCCCGGAACGAATTTTATTATACAATTTTCCCACCTTTCTACCCACATGAGATTATACCACGTTACAGGCTCACTTTGTATAACATTTCAAAAGACATCCTTATAATTTAAACATGCGAAATTGTTATATATGATGAATCAATTCTCATTCGACGACATGAATGTAAATTGATGCTCAATAACTTGAGCGAATTATACACACAAATTATTCCAATTTAAATTCATAAGTGATAGCAAATTACCCAAGTCAAAATTCTAAAATAGTTTATCTAAATAAAAACTGTAATAACTATTATAATAAATTTTGTATGTAAATGTATAACATGATATCTTATTTAAGAAGAACACGTATAACAAATGAATTTCAACATATAGAGAGAGAGAAAGAGTTAACTATATAGTATAATCCAATTGTATTACTTAAAATCTCATATTATACTCGTACTTACTATGCACATTTTATGACAACTTTAACTATAATATAATCGTACATGTTTTATGTGATATGTGTGAGTTTACAACAAGTCTGATAACCAAAAATAGTATAATTTCATCATTTCCATGTACAACAAACCAACTACATATCTCTTGTGTTTTCATTCCTTTCTCATTTTCATACAGCATTCTTTATAAAATAAATTCACTACAAAATTTTTTTTGCTTTAAAAATATTTTATATACATACATAGATTTAAGAATTTTACTATAACAAAGGATCCTGAGAAAAATTTTCTTTTTAAGTTGTTAAAATAACACAGGATAATGATTAACATTTTAGAGAAAAGAACGTGATATGGTCTCACTCAGAAATAACTACAATATGCATATATATATAGAGATTATAAATTGTTGTAGTAACTTTAGAAATATTTTATGAAAAAAATTTTTTTTTCCAAATATATTTTAACCTTTAAGGAAAAAACCTAACAAAAATAACGTTATTATAGAATTAAAAATTTAATCTCTTTAGGGTCGAAATACTTCAGCTCTATTATAATTATTTTTACAAAAAAAAGGTGTTCTTTGTAATTCCTTGTAATGCGAAATGTATAACATAAATTTTTATGTTACTAACAGCATACGAGTATAATGAAGTTGTAAGGAATTTTAAGTATTAAAATGAAGTTTAAAATAACTTTAAATTAATAGAATTTAAAAGTTATGGCATGCTCCGTGTAAAAATATTTTTAATATTCATTAATTATAGCTGCATAAAGTATAATTATTTTAAAAACTTATAATATTCCCGCCGCAATAATTTGCTTTCCAGATTTTCATAGAAACGTGTACTTTGTGTGAAATAATAAAGACTTAGTATTTTAAAAAATCAAAATTTTGAAAAATTTACATTGTTGTTATACGAATTATAATTCACTCACTTCACTCACAACTCTTACGCATTTTTAAAATGCAAAAATTCTACAGAGAATGTTTAAATCTTGATAATATTCCTCGACGACGAATCCTTTTTAAGTTCTTTAACCTAACAATATAATTTGCACTAAAATGGAATAATTTTTCACATAAAAAGGAAATATTCTTGATAAATTCAGGTTATAGCTATTTCAATACCCGATATAAAGTGAAAATTAAAAGTCCAAAATAATTTCTTAAAACTGGATAAGTAAGTTGGTGGCCAATAATAACAATAATAATAACAATAACAATAGTAATAGCATAAATAAGTAAACAGGAAAGTAATATCATTTAATTGAGTCGTACACAGCCTCTATTTCTATAAAACAGAGTAGTACACAAAAGTATAAAAAATTCACGCAAATTTTACAGTTAAAACATTAATCTATCATACATTTTGTTTGACAACTCTGATCATACATCTGATATTGCTATAATACTGAGCTATACAATTTAACTAATTTGCAACATGTTATTACTCTAATTTGTGTGTCATCATCAGTATATTGTTAGAGCTTTGAATGTTTTAATTATTGAAATCCGGTTAAATATCTAACATTGCGGAAAATATTGTTGAAAATAATTTGCAACAATTTATAAAATATAAAAAAATTTATACTCCAATCGAGCCCAATACTATACAAACTTGTTAGAAAATATGATCTTGCAAAAGGTTCTCTAAAAGTATATTGGCAATAAATGTTTGTTTTTAGTGAAATACTGTACATTTTTTGCAATGTAGGGTTAATTTTGAATTTTTTTATTGATAGCATTTATTAATGCTGTCAAATATGAATGATGTGAACACCTGTTAATTGATTGAGTTGAAAACAATCAAATAAAATAGAGAATTCGGAAAGGAGCGCAACTGAGGAAAGACAAAGGTTTTGATACCAAAAATTTTATGAAAAATTTGTGGGTTCTTCATATCAAATTGGGCAGTAAAACATTTGGCAACACCAACAGTTCTTATTTTTCATCTTAGGTTCTTAATGTTTTATTTATTAATTTAAAATTATTAAAATCTCAAAAACTGACCATCTGAACTAAAATGACTTTTTAGCAAAAAAAAACAAAAAAACATTGATTGACTTGAAAAAAATAACTGTTTAGTTCAAAAGTTTAAAAATACACGATTCACAAAACCAAAATAATTCAATTTATCCTTATCCTTATTTTTTATTTTTTTTCATTTATAAATATTGTTATACAAAGTAATAAGACAAGTTGCCACTCATAACACCTCTGATCATCTCCCAATTTTTAATATTTACAACTCTTACCATAGAAAAGCAAAATAAATTAAAAAAATGTGGAATGATTTTTTGTTTCGTTTTTGTTTTTGTTTTAAATTATATAATAAAGAACGTTTATTTATTATTCAGAACTTATCTCACAGTTTTTTAATCTTACTATACGACTAAAATTACACATCTCCAAAATTTATGCGACTGCCTTTATATTTACACTTATTTTGACATCCTTAATTTCACAACCTGTACATTTTATTTACAATATTTTTTATATTAAACACATACATACATGAATACATAAATAAGTTTAAAATGTTATAAATCTTATATACAAAAAAAAAAAAATAAAAATATAAAATTAAAATTCTAAAAAGGAAACAGAAAAAAAAAAAAACAAAAAACAATAATAAAATTAAAAATTAAAGAGAAAAATAAAATTTGACAGGTTATGCTTCTCGGTGATTCAGGTGTTGGAAAAACATGTCTCTTAGTCAGATTTCGTGATGGAACATTTTTAGGAGGAAATTTCATTTCAACAGTTGGAATTGATTTTAGGGTGAGAAAATTGTTGTTGTTTCTTTATTTTTGTTTTTTTTCTCTCTCTTCAAAACAAATCTCTTTTCTTCCATAATATTTTTGTTTTTTACCAAAAACTTTTTCTTGTTTTTCTTCTTCTTAGTGTTTAACTGTTAGCACGACAAAAAAAAAGAGAATTTAAGATGAGAGAAAAATAATTTTTTTTTTTCATTCTTCATTGCTTTTTTTTTATTGTCCCGTTTTCTTTTTCATATTTATTTTTGTTATTTTTTTTCTTCATATTCTGGTTGTTGCTGTTGTTCTTGTTGTTTTTTTTTTTATTTTGCTTTATTTTCTCTCATTTTTCTTTTTTCATTGTTAAATTTGTATTTTTAAAGATGTGTAAATTGAATTTATTTTTATAAATGTCCTTCAACATTAAATACACATTCGAAATAAATCAGTATATAGATAAATTTGTATGTTTTGCATTAATATATATATGTACATATGCGAATATACTCAAAATACTAAGTGTTGCGGTTTACATTGAATAATTTTTAAAAAAATTTGTTGGGAAACTGTAATCAATTGGAAGCTGTAATGAATTTGTTGAAACAGTACCCAGTCTAGCCATTGCTGTTGTAATTTAACAATTTACAGGAAACTGTGTTTTGAGTAAATTCAAATTGAAAAAATCGTAAAATTGTAAAACTAATCAATTAGTGCAATTCGATTGGTCTCTTTAATTTCTGGATTTATAAACTATACTCTGGATTTGCATGATTTTTTGCCACAACAAAGATTATATTATTCTGATTTAATTCATCTATGAAATCCGAATTCTAAAAAAATGTATATAAAATGAATTTAAATTTAGTTACAATTGAATAACTGACAAATAACTAATTACAATTAATTTGTGTATATGTCATAATGGATTTTAGCTTATTTTTTCTGCTTTTCAACCGTTGTTATAATTTTACACTACTTATGGGAATTGTTTTTAATTTTATTTAAATCATCAGAGCTATTTTAAAGCTTTTCTAATTGTAAAGATAATAGCTACCTGAATCAAGCTTAACAATTCTGCTTTTGATTATAAATTCGAATTCATCAAAATTTAAGATATTCAGTTCTTTAAAACAGAAAATAGATATGTAAAATCGTATGGGCAGATGTGTAAAAACATAAAAAAATGTAAGAATAAGGTTTTATTGTCAGTTATCAATTTATACAGGTACGAAATTATTCTAAAAATATTAAATTAAATCACAAGCAATCACAAGCAAATTCAGAGCTACACATTTCATTTATTAAAATTAAATTTTTCGTTCTTAGACGGTTTTGAAATATTGCTTTTGTTGTAAAACCATTTCGGAATCATGTAAAAACTCAAACATGTGTAATAAAATAGAACATATTCTCATATCTACAAGCATTTATATGAATTTTAAAGGCTCTCTTTAATGTAAGCTTTTGTCACTTTAATGTAAATAAGCTTTAATGTTTCTCCAATATTTTGTTTTGGTTTTATATTTTAAAATGCAAAATATTCATTTAATACTCGACACTTTGTATATTTGAATTCATCCACAAATTTATAAAAAATATAGAAAAATATCTTCGTTATAAAGTAATTTATTTTGTTTTTTTTTTATTTTATTTATTGATTGTTTATTGTTGTAAAGTTTAACAGTTTTTTCTGTATATATGGTTGTTTTATTAACTTTTTTAGTATTATAAATATGTGAGGCACGTAAACTATAAGTATATATTGGGTGTCAAAATTTTGATAATAAATATATTTTACATACAAGTATATATGTATGTAATATGTTACCGGCCATATATGTATGTTACATAATCAGCTTAGTAGTATGGTCAGCTTTTACAGGTTGCAATTAAATAGTTCATAACAAAAGTTCTGTTACAGTTTTGAATTCAATATAAGATTAATGGCAAGATGCTATGATTAATTTATTCAGAGCTTAAATTATTTTTCCATAATAATGAATGATTTTATCTAGAGCCACCTTTTCAAAATTTGGAAATTTTTTTCAAAAATTTTGTTTTAAACGTACTTTTGATTTATACAAAACAGAAATTATTTAGAAAAAAAGTTTATATAGTTTATGTTAGCTTAGGTTAACGCGGCTCCCCGATGGATACACTTAGGTCATTTAGGCTCGTTGTAATACCGTCGAATCTCTGTCTTTCCCCTCTATTACAATCAACTCGAGTTCCTCAGAAACCGGCTAAGACAACTGGAACTTACATTCGATAGTGAGCTAGGGTTTTTCAGGGTTGTACATAAGCATAGCAGGCGGATCATCGCTTCCTCCTCTTCTTTGTCACAGCAGCTCTTACAAAGATCGTTTGCAGGGCGGCCCATTCTTCTGGTATGTTTGTCAATCAGACAATGTTCGGCTGGAAAACCAACTATCGCACCAATATCCCCTCTTCGATAAGATAGAACTTAATCAGATAATCAAATACAAAATGGAAAAAAAGTATAGCTAATTGACAAAAAGCCTTTCAATATTGAAAATTGTGCTTTCCTTTCATTATTAGTATTTAATATAACATGAATAATTAATTTCATTACCCAATACTTGTACCAAAAATAAGTATCGTGTCCTGTAATCTGAAAGAAAAGTAATTGTCATTTAACCAAATAAAATAATTGTCAAATAACCTGAATAATAAAAGCAAATAACAATTGAAAAAATCTCCTGCCTATATAAAAAAGTACCGGTTAAAATTATTTTTTTGTTGAAATTTAAGATTTAGATAACAAAAAAATAAGGTTATTCTGAATATAAAACAAATTACATAAAAATTAAGGTCAAAGAACAAAATTAATCTCATTTGATTTTATGATCTCTACATTAATTATTATTATAAATACAAGGTAAGTGAAAAAGAATAAATTATAATATTAAAAATAATAATTAAAGGGTATTTGCTTAAAAAATTTAGATGATTGACCTTTCAATTTTAGAAATGCGGGTTGTATAAATTAATTACTTAAATTAATATCAAATTGCTAGCAATTAAGAATTAGATAATATCTAAAATCTCTTCAAAAATCTAATAAGTATTAATTTTGGATTTAGTAATTGACAATAAAGAAAGCAACCAATTTTCAATCTTTACATTTGAAATTTCAAAATAAAAAATAGAATTCTCAAAAGTATTTTTGTTTGAACACACCTGTTCGCAGCAAGAAATTATGTATTTCGCAAAATAGGGGAAAATTGTAATGCTTTCTACACACATAGAGTACCACCCTCCGTCAATTGTAATTAATAGTAACAAAATATATCTTCATACTTTCACACTCTAATAAATAATTCGAGCATGTTTCCTGTATTATTCGATGAATCAATTGAACTTGTTAATACATTCCTTTTAAAACTTAGTTGCGAAGCAAGAATGCTGTAACCCTATAAATATGCAAAATTTTAGTAATTATTTTGTTTACTAATACGTTTATTTTAATGTTTTTCATTAAACATTTGTTTTTTGTTAAGCTTGTCATATAAGTACAAAAAGGTATACAAAGAACTCTTAAGGAATAATCCTGTTTCTATTGAATATTTAACACGGTCTTTATTGTGATAATATGCGTGTGATATTAGACTATTCTCATGCTTTAGTAAAGCCTTGTCATATGGCTTCTTTATCATATGGCGAACCGGCATCGCAAATAAACGTCGAAGACTTTAACTATGTATTTTGTATGATGGAGATCATTTTCAAAATCTTTTATGATTTAAAATAAAGATTCAACCCCCCCCCCCCCCCCCCTAAAAAACCTAAACTCCATGCAAGGCATAGATTTCAATGCAATTTAAAAGTACGTCCAAGTTTTTATAAGAATTCTGGGTACAATCATGTTTTGAAAAACTGTCATGCTTTCCTTAATTAAAATAAGTGAACAAAATTGATAATGTAAAATATTTTCTTTGATAAAGTGAGTTGCAGTTAGAGAAGGAAATTATGCGAATCCAAGAATTAATAAAATATTTTTTCATTGATAAGATGAAATAAAAATGTTTAAAAGAATAACGCGACTTTTAAATGCTACTTTTAAATTTCTCCTATGGTTCGAATTAGAAGAAATTCGATGGTAGTTTTTGGAAACGATACCAACTGGAATTGTAAAGCAGTCATCATATTTAAAATCCTCTTCTTTTTTATATTTTTATATAAAGTCCAAAAACAAGTTATGTAATAATCTCAAATAATTTTGTTTATCGAATTAATTTACCCAAAAACTATTCTTACCATATTCATAACAACTGTTGAGTAAAAGTAATGACAATAAAATAAAGTTTTCTTTTTCCAAGATGTTAGACTTCTTGTCCCATAAAAAATTTCAAAAAAAACATGAACAAATTCTCTAATTTTCTGTGTTATGAATTAAATATTTTTAATAGAATTTAAGGAAAATGAAAAACTTTTGAAAATTTCAAAAGTACAACAAAAAAAAATATACAAATCAGTAACAAATTAATGGTTTATAAAAAAGCACATTTCACTTTAATAATTAGCAAAGAGAAAAATAAGTGTTTCTATTTAAAATATTATTTATTTTTTAAAGTAAATTATTTTTTTAGATAAATTTTTAAATATTTAGGCTTAAGCTTTTTAAAAAATAATTTTGAACCTCATTCAAGGTTACGACGAGATATTATTCGGTAAAAAAGATATAACTATCACATAGCACTTTGACATAAAAATGATATTTTTGTAAATGTTAGAGGCTATAAGGGCTACGAAATTAAATATTGTGGAAAGACCAGTCACTTGCTCTTTAGACTAATAAAATTTGAAACAAAAAATTATGCATTAATTGGAAACTAAATTTAGCGAAATATAAATGGTTTAGGTATAAAACAAGAAGCCTGTACTAGATGAATTTGTAAAAGTACTATAAAGTATTGATTTGGTAAACTATTGTCAAAAAATAGTATTTCTATCAAATTTCGATTTAAGCCATAATTTGAAATTAGGGTAAGGCTTTATTCTGGA